CACCCACATCCCACATACGCACACATACCCAAATCCCCTGACAAATCCCATACCCACCCACCAATACCCTCCATACCCTTCCACACCTCCCACAATATACAAGAGTAAGACTTTATTTTGAGATATTATGCAATCACTTCTATGTACACAATGCAAACACACATACATCAGGACAAAATAGCTTTTTAAAATAAAATTAAAATATCTTGTCTTCAATGTTTGATTTTTAGTATATGATTTTTTTTGTTTTTTTCTCTGGTTCCAAGATGGCAAACCCCCTACCCAAAAGGGAGTACTTCTGGGGACAAGGGGAGGAACTTCTGGTGGCAAAGATGAGGGGTTAGGGGGCTGGACTTCTGGTCTTGTCAAAGGGTGGGGCTACTCTTGCGGCCCTTAACAGTTCACCAAAACTCATTAAGCGGGCCTCCAGCCAAAATAATTGCTTGTCCATGGTTTTAATTCATTGAATGGGATACATTAGGGCATTGATCACAGGACACTGTTTTGGGTAGTTGTTTTAACAGTAGGACAGAACTCAAAGTATTCTGAATTGGTGATGGTTTATGGAGACATTTGCAAAACCCCAAATAAACACTGAATGCCTGTTCCAAGAAATAAGCCCTAAATCAATAAAGCATGTTGTGATGGCCAGAACCACAGGAATTAATAAGCAATAAATATGTGCTTCTTAGAAGCATTTGGTATTTTGCCTAAACAGGTAATATTAGTTAATATAAATCTTGTAAGTTTGTAAACCATAAATGTAACTCATCTGTCATAAGTTTAACCAAAATGATAAAATTAACTGTTCGTGGAACTGACTGGGCCCCATAGGCTGTAGATGTGAGATTAGCTGATCTAATGGTTTCTGCTCAGGGTTCAGCTTTGACGATAAAAACTGGATCCAACTGCCTGGCACACCCAACACATTCCAGGAAAGCACATCCCAAGAAAGCATATTCAAATGAAACCTAAAAGGGGTTGGGGCCTAGGCGAAGCAACATCAATTTCAAACCTAAAGGTGCTGCATTATAATTTACTTATTGGATAAACCCGAGTCTGGGTAGTAACCTTTTACGATAATTTTTAACACCTTTCAATCCTATAGGGTAACAGCTATAGGGTAACATTATGAGTGGCTCTAAAACAAACAAATTAGCATAAGACTAGGTATAAAAAGCATGTGTATCAGGTAACGAGTAGGAAGGAGGGAACAGAATGGTCATTTCTGTTCCACGCCCAGAGCCGGGACTGCCAGTGTGAGTGAGGATCAGATCCTGATCAAGGGACCTTGCCCGGTAATCCCTCTGACAGTGTCGATCGGGGACAACTGACTTCACTGGAATCACCTGATGCACACCTGGCATTGAGGAACTATTGATAAGTTGCCAACTCATGTCTGTCTATCTATCTGTTGTTTTGAACAGCCCTGGGGCTAATACTTTCACAGTACCCAGTTGACTTGAGACAGAATTGACCTATCTATCTGTTGTTATTATCTGTTATGTACTATTAGCTCTTTAATACTGCATTATCTGCTTATCGCATTTATCTTTCTGTTAACTGTTGTGTGTGTGTAAGCTATAATAAATTTGCCTTTACTTCACTCCCAACTTTGCCTCCTCAATCCGAAACTGAATCAAACAGCCCAGTTGGTCTGTGATAAAATTGATAGAACTATTAATTCTGTGATAGAATTGACTCACAGTGCCCAGCTGACCTGTAACAGGACGTGTGAACAAGGAGGATAGTCACACAGGGACATGCAGTTATCTATGATTGGTTTAGCATAATAAAACATTGGATACATTTGCAACTAGCACAGGAAATTAAGTTAATTGGGATTGCTTCATTTCACATGGTCCCAATTACAATCTCCCATAAGGAGCCCTGCAGTCCATATCCAGCCTGATACCCATTTTAAAATATGGCTACTGCCAAACCCTGTTACTGAGGGTCCTGACAGAAGTAACATTTGTCACATGACTGGCCCCTTGAAAGTGCTCTACAGCCATGTCCTGTCAGAAGTGCACAGCTGCAGAGCACTTTAGAAGTGGCCGATTGCATGACAAATTAACCCTCATTTAATGAGAACGGAGACGAAGGCACTCCAAAGCAGAGTACTTTCATGCAGCTTCTGTCAATCACTGCATGCAATCAGGGCTGGGCTGATGCAATGCAGCCCTGTCCCTGGTGCAGTCTGCAGGAAGGGAGGGAGGGAGGGGGATGGGAGACAGGTATGGAGCTGAGGACTAGGGTTTGCCCAGCCTGAGCTGAAAGGGGAGAGTGGATTGGAGGCCTCTGCCTCATGCCCCCCCAACCCCAGACCCCTCCCTCTATAGCTCAGGCCAGGCAAACTCCAGCTCACAGCTCCCTCTCCCTGCCCCCTCCTCCTTCCTTTCTGCAGACCACACCTGAGCTGGGGCGGGGTGGAGTGGGTCAGGCAGTTCCTCCACTGGATTGGCTCCAAAATGGAGTTCAGTCTCCCCCTCCCCTCAACCCAACAACAGACATCTGTTGGGTCTGGGGGGGAGGGGGTCGCTCCAACTCATGGCGCTTTCTGTGAATTTCCTCTTCAGCTAATTAATTCTAAAATATTGTAAAGTGATTTTAGAGGAAAACCTAGAGTAAATACGCAATCACTGTTTCCTAAGGCTTCAAGATGTTCATCTGTAAGGTTATTGGAGGTCATTCCAGGGATTAGCCCACCAACCCCTGTGACCTCATCGGTTACCTCCTGGCAAAGCAGCAACAATGCAGCCTCAAAGAGCTAAGTGTATAAAGGACTGTGCCACTCCATTTTGATTTGGGTCAAAACCCAGGAGAATCAGGACCATAGATTTCAGAATCAGATTGCATAGATTTCTAGGGTCAGAAGGGACCTATTAGATCATTGAGTCCAACTCCCTGCTCTGGGCAGGAAAGAGTGCTGGGGTCAAGTAACCCTGGCCAGGTGCTTGTCTAATCTCCTTTTGAATACCTCCAAGGTAGGAGAAAGCACCACCTCCCTTGGAAGCCCATTCCATATTTTGGCAACCCGCACCATAAAGAATTTCTTCCCCATCTAAATCCAATCTAAATCTACTCTCTTTCAGTTTATGTCCATTGTTTCTAGTAACCCCAAGGGGTGCCTGGGTAAACAGAGTATCCCCTATTCCCTGCTGACTTCCCCCACCCCAGTGAGTTTGTAGACAGCCACGAGATCACCTCTCAGCCATGTCAAATGCAATGTCTATACACAGCCCTACAATTGCTGATAGTTAAATCCTATGTCAATGTTGTAAAAATCACAAGTTCAAAGTTCAGAGTAATTTCTGTGCACTGGGTGTATCCACCATCTTCAAGGCATAGATTTATTAGAGTACATCCACTAAAAGCATAGAATCATGGGTCTGGAAGAGACCACAAGTGGTCCTTCAGTCCAAACCCCTGTTCAATACAGGCCTATTTGTTATGTAGTGACAGCAGGTTCTGGCCCAGCAGCAACTGTAAGCCTCCCTTGAATGGCAGGAGGGAGGCTACTAGGTGCATAACAATTGATTCCTTGTGACAACAATAGGAATGGATCGTCCCAGTCAAGTGTTTATTTACCCTAAACTTAAGCTTCCCATGCCCTCTCTAGATACTCTGTTCCTGTGTTTAGCTGTCTTCACATCTTGATTTTACCCCTGAGCCTGTACCATTCCCCACGTGGTAACAGTGCTGTTTTGAACCCCAGTAGTTTCACTTGTCTTCTAGACCAGTTTTCTTGTATGTTTTTTGCACATCACATTGATGTCTGCAGGGTAATATGTCAAGAGATTCATTGCCTGTCTGCAGCCAAACTGATCTATAAAGATGTGGCCTTTGGAGAAGTTTACAGATCAAATACTTCCCAGAGTTATGTTCAGTGAAGAATTATATTTAAATACCCCTTGTTAGCCCAAAGTACCTTTCTCTGGCTTCCAAAGATAGAAGGGGTACCTGGATTCTTCTATTAATTTACGGAGTTCTCAGGTTGGACCAACACTGTTTGAAGCACAATTATATTTTGAAAGGGTCACCAGATACCGTGCAAAATATGGATTATCACAGATAATTGTCGTCTAAAAAATGTTCCATATCACAAAAAAATTGAAGATTATGTAACCCTTCTCTAGGATCATTCACCGAGTCATATTTGCTTTTAGCAAACTTCCAAAGAAAAGCATTAGGGACTAGAGTATTTGGTGATGTGAGGCGCACATGTCAGTAAAATGAACTGCATGTTACACACACCTAGGTTTTAGCTGTGATATATCACCTAAAATGTACTGTGCTACTGTATTGTAAGGCACGCCATGAGTGTGAAGCCTGCAGTGCCTGAGTTAGTCAAGAGTCCAGCATGCTGGCTTATCTATTACTTGCTAAGAAGCAACCCATCAAATGCTTGGCTGGCATCCATATCCTGGGTGAACAGTTATGGTTTTACTGTGTACTCACAGGTACTCTGGAGAAGGAAGCCACCTGTTTTGCTAAGCCAGCTGCTTGCGTTAAAAATGGTGAAACTGATTAAAAAGAATAAAGGCCTTCTACATGTATTTTCACAGCTATTGGGATTAAAGAGTAGGGGCACAGCTTCCCATTCTTTGCTAGAAGCATCAAGAGAGCTGCCTTTCCTGACTACTGTGCTGAATTCTTTTTCTTGCTTGCATCTGCCTTAGCCGAGCTATTTACATGTATTACAGCAGTGTACATATTCACCAATCACAATCAGGGATCTATTTGATAGGTATTTGTAGCAAGAGTCAGAGTTCATCCCTGCTACGCCTGCCCTTTGGACAAGCTGATGCTGGGGATTTGGTGGCAAGGTTCAATTAAGAGCAGACAGAGTCCCTTTAATACTAGCACGTGAATGACATATGGGACACGCAGAAAAAAAAAGGATGCTGGGACTCTGGGTGGGGAGAGAAAGACTCCAAGCTGCCGAGAGTGAAAGAGCGACCCCTGGAAAGGGGCCAGGACTGGATGAAGCAACTTACCTGGACCGGTGCAGAGGCACTGGCAGATAAACGCTGGAGCAACGATCCTGGAAGGCGATGCTGAACAATGATGGATTTGCCAGTATTTCCCAGGCACTGGTGGCAGAAAATTGCCTGGACCTGTGGGAGAAAAGAGAGAGAGAGACGGTTTCAGACAGAAACTGTGAGTAAAGAGTCAAGCTCCAAGCAAGGGGCAAGATGTGACCTGGGTGATGAGGACCCCAGTCAAGGAGTACTGTAACTGTTGGGTGGTGGGCAGCCTCAAACAATGAAACAGCCTAATCACTGATGGAGGCAAGGTTGGACCCATACTGTGAGGATTAACAGTGTGGGAAAGTATCTCTGAAGGGAACAGAGACTGAGCTGGGAAACTACAAATCAGCTAGGTGCTGATGGTTTAAAAATAGTTTAAAAGGTTTTTTGGGGGGGAATTGGCTTATACATACATACATACATACATATATGTGTGTGTGTGTGTGTATGCGCATTAGAATGGTTCAGGATGGGCAGCAGGAGTTAATTGATTTCTAAAAGCCTGGGTCTCATACACAGATTTTCTAGCTTTCAGAAACAGGCAGGCTGTCTAACAAACAAGGACACACAGTCTGAGAAACTGTGGGCATATACCACACTGTTCCACAACATGAAATAAGGTGCCACCAGCTTGCAAGGCCAAAGAGGGGGCTTAAAATTCTGTTTTGGGAAGGGTGTGCATGTAATGAGTTTTGAATATGCTGACAAAACAGAATGTGCACAGTATGAAGACCACAGAGAGAGACCAATCAGCAATAACCACAGATGAAGAGTCATCAGGAGTCATTCAGAGGGAAGAAGAATACACAAGCAGAGACTTGAGAGTAACAAGTCCTACCCATCCTTCTCCCCACCCTCCGCCTTCGTCCTTGTCTTCCTCCCCAAGAGGGTCCCTGAGATGGGTTCCCACTCCCATCCCCCAGGAGGGGTCCCCAAGGTCACCATGGACAGAGGGCACACCACCAACCTGTCTCATCCGCTGCACTGGAGGGGTGGGGGCGGACCTCGGCATCCCACCTCCAGGCTGCTGACATCTGACACCTAAGAGAGAGCCTTAGAGTGAAGCCTATACTCTGTCCAGATGTTTCTTGACTCTGATGACAGCCCTAGAACTGGTAGATGTATAGAATTGCTTGATTGCTTGTATTGTTTCTTTTCTGTTATCACTGTGTAACAATAAATTTGCCTATTATTGAATGGAAAGGTTGTGGTTGGTCTGAGGCATCTGGGTGCTAAATCCAGAGCCAAGTGCAGCCAGTGACTTTTGGCTTATTACAATGAGAATGGTAGATAAAAGACTCTAAGACATTGTAGATGGGACAACAAGCAGCTGCTCTGGAAGAGAAGTCCCAGGAGAGGGGAAATTTGTTACTGAGTACCAGCTCCTTTTTTTAAGTTATTATTTTGGTTTGTGATTACTATAATTTGAGGAAGAAGAACAAGTATTGGTAATTGTTCCAAACTGAGCACCTAAGGTCAGAGTGTGAACAAGAACACCGTGAGTCCCCGCTGAGGACTCTGCTAATTGACCAGTGCTGTCATGACCCGAGGGTGGAGATGGACATGGTGTAGGTTGTAGGGAAAGGTGGAGCTGTGTACACTCCTGCTACAGTTCTGTACAAACGCAAAGAAAGTAGACCTGTGCGAATAGGGAAGTTTTCAGATTTGGATGATTCAGAGGAAAGTGATTCAATTTGGAGATTCAGATCACTGTCCCAGATTGATTTGTCCTAATCAGCTTCAGAAGATTCAGTGCTGGCTCAGAGAGTTAGCCATAGACTAAAATGGGGAATCCCTGAAATACCTATAACTTTGTCATGTGTTGGCAGATTTGGATGAAAATAGCACAACTGATAGCCCCCTCTGAGGACATGAAGCCTGCCAAGTTTCAAGAAGATAGATGCAGGGGTTTCTGGGAAACAGCACCTCAAGGTGCTGACAAGCAAAACTGGTGATGTGTGACTTTGTGTGTGTGAAACCAGCAGGGATGGTAGCCTGTAACAGGCTTCCTGGTGCTCAGGCAGGAACAGCTCACAAAAGGGACAGAAAGCCTCTGTCTGCAGCCTTATGTGCTGTTTCTATGTCCCTCCAGCAAAGCAGTGTGACTGGAAGGGGACAAGGAGACTTGGGGAAAGATCACAGTCACTGGCCAGCTACAGATGTCAGTCTCTCCCCCCCTTCCCAGTTTCTGTTCCCCTGAAAGACTGCCTTCCGAATCTCTGAATCTT